GAGGAGATGCAGGAAGATAATAAACAGGCAGGACAGAAAAATAGTCAAATAAAAACAAGTTAGTTTTTGTACCTGGTGGTTGCAACAAACAGACACCATTGAAGGTAATCAGAAGTGAGGAACAAAAAATGAAATAATTATTTTAATGTTTAGAGCAGCAGGAACTCCGAGAGGCTGCAGGCGCATCAGTGAGTTTGCGGCCGCTGCGCAGGGGGAGAGGGCTGAAGCAGAAACTACCGTTGTTAAAAGAAATGTGTTTAACTTAGAAAATGTGGGCGCAATTTTAATTGTCAAAAACTCCAGCGAACCATTAGTTCATTTTGCTCAAATAGAAATTGAGGCCTGCCTCTAATTCTGGTCCTCCTTCCAATAAAGGCCTGGAGCTTGAGTCAAATACAGGCCCGGGCCTGTATTAGAGGATTTATGGTAACTATATTAGTGGATTGCCAATTGTGCTGAGTCCCAGCTGTACTGAGCCTGTCTGTTAAAGAGTTCATCCAAAAATTAAAATTGCCTCCAAGTATAAGTGGACAGTCCAAGTGTTCGGAGAGTACAGAGAAAAAAATTAAGAAAGAATGAAGGGTCATCAATATTTGGACATTATATGCTGACAATAAATAAGCTTTGGTTCTGTACAGATTTTTTTAACATTATAAATCTACTATCTGGATCAGAGACTGTATCCAATACTGTGAAATTGATGTTTTCGTGTATTAAAATAGCTACACCTCTTTGCCTAGAGTTATAGCAGGCAGAGAACATGCTGGAAAACTCAGGTGTTTTAAGTTCATCTGCAGATGTGGCAGATCATTGAGTCTCTTGCAATAATATTATGTCTGCTTGCACTCTCTTTAGCTGATCAAAAATCTTTATTCTTTTCTCTATGGAGCCAGCTCCATGTACGTTCCATGAAACAAACCTTAGTGCACCCATAGATGTGTGTGTGAGTAGCTAGAATATGACGCCTTCATGTAAATAAGATGGAATAAGTAACTAAATGTATAAAATAGAATGTTAATAAATAACAGAAAAGTAAATAATAATAATAATAATAATAATAATAATAATAATAAAGATCCAACAGTGTTTGTGGTTGTATTATTTGACTCATAAATTATGATATTGTACTGTGGATTTAATATATATATTTGTGTGTGTGTGTGTGTGTGTGTGTGTGTGTGCGCGCACGCGCGGGTGTGTGTACGTGTGTGCTGAGTCTGACGCAGTGTTGGAAAGTTGTGTGGTTGTGCCATACAGGTGTAAAGGTACAGAAGCAGGTAAAGGGGAAAGGAAAATACAGATACAGGTTATAAAAAGAAGAAAGAACTAAAAAGAAAAGGTGGTAGGGGTGTGAGGTGGTGAAGAACAGGTGATCTTATCATCAACAATACGGATTTAGCAGCTGTTTAATCCTGACGTGATCAAACCCAGTGAATCCTGATAAGAATAATAAATGTCTGACCTGATGTGTGGCTAATACAGCCAGTCTGTCACTCCTCGCTCCTTGTAAAGTTTATTGTCCACATAAAGCTCATCCACCGAGATGACAGCCCTCTTCCCATCCTGGATAAACTTTTTGCGGAGTGGAAAGAGGACTTGGCGCCGATCCTGGATTTCCTTAGGGAACTGGTCATTTACGCTGAAGTCTTTTCCTTTGAGCTCTCTTCCCCGACTTTTAACAAGATCCTTCTGCTTAAAATGTTAAAATTTAGCCACGATGGGACGAGGTCTTCTGCTGTCCTCTCTTTTAGCTCCAAGGCGATGTACCCGGTGAAAGGTGATGTTTTTTACCGTTTCTTCGGGTATCTTCATTTGGGTCTGGAGAAAGTTTTTTATTGTTTGCTCGCAGTTCTCCGCCCCTCCCGCCTGCTCCGGCAGGCCTGCGAACACCAAATTATCCCTCATGCTACGGGCCTGAAGGTCCAAAACCATCTCCTTCAGAATCTTGTTGTCTAGGGTGATCCGCGTCATTCCCTCTTCCAGGGAAGAAAAGGACTCACGCAGAGACGCGTTTTCAGCAGCGAGCCGCTCAACCTGCTCTTGGCTGAACTCCAAAGATGTTTGGAGGTTCTGAAACTCCTAGTGTAGAACCTCAAACAAATGAAGACGCCCCTCAAATCCCAGAAGCCGTTTATCTATAGAATCTAATAATTCTAATATGTCCTTACGGGGAGATGAGGCTTCAGGCGAGTCCTGAGGACGGCTCCTCTTGGTCCCAGGTGTTTCCGTCTCAGCTGCTGATTTCTTCGGACCCATAACGAATAACTCAAAAACTCCGTCAATATAGCTTTGTAAACTTTCTAATTTTTCTTCACTTACCTCCAGGTTGAGTGAGTTATACTTACCAGACTATTTCTTTGCGTTGTGCAAAAATGTGTCTTAATTGTTTGTGGGTGTTTGCTAACGAGCTGCCATCAGCTTCAAACGCTGCTGTGTATCCGGTGATCGGCCGTCAGTGCATGCTCCCTCCCTCTCGTTTGACAGCATCCCTAACCGCTGGTGTCCACTAGCAGGTTCGGGGGATTGCCACCACGACAGGCACAGACGAAATTGCGACCACAGCTCCGGTCGGCCGCCTGAACAGTGGAGGCACGGAACAGGGTCCATTCAGACTCAATGTCCCCCGCCTCCCCCGGAACATTTTGGAAGTTCTGTCGGAGGTGGGAATTGAAGCTCCTTCTAACAGGAGACTCTGCCAGACGTTCCCAGCAGACCCTCGCAATACATTTGGGCCTGCCTGGTCTGACCCGCATCCTTCCCCACCATCTGAGCCAACTCACCACCAGGTAGTGGTCAGTTGATATTTCCACCCCTCTCTTCACCCGAGTGTCCAAGACATGCGGCCACAGGTCAGATGAAACAACAACAAAGTCGATCATCGAGCTGCGGCCTAAGGTATCCTGGTGTCAAGAGCATATATGGACACCTTTATGTCTGAACATGGTGTTCATTATAGACAATCCATGACTGGCACAGAAGTCCAATAACAAAACACCACTCGAATTCAGATCAGGGGGGCTGTTCCTCCCAACCACACCTCTACAGGTCTCACTGTCATTGCCCACGTGAACGTTAAAGTCCCCCAGCAGAATGAGGGAGTCACAGGAAGGAGCGCTTTCCAGCACCCCCTCTAAGGTCTCCAAAAAGGGTGGGTAGTCTGAACTGTAGTTTGGTGCATAAGCACAGACCACAGTCAGAACCCTTCCCCCCACACGTAGGCGGAGGGAGGCTACCCTCTCATTCACTGGGGTAAACCCCAACGTACAGGCACCAAGATGTGGGGCAACTAGTATGCCCACCCCTGCTCGGCGCCTCTCAGTGGGAGCAACTCCAGAGTGGTAGAGAGTCCAACCCCTCTCAAGGGAACTGGTTCCAGAGCCAGAGCCATGCGTTGAGGTGAGTCCGACTACATCTAGTTGGAACCTCTCAACCTCACACACCAACTCAAGCTTCTTCCACACCAGAGAGGTGACATTCCATGTGCCAAGAGCCAGCTTCTGTAGCCGAGGATCAGACTGCCAAGGTCCACGCCCTTGACCACCACCCGTCACACACTGCACCCGAACCCCTTTGGCCCCTCCCACGAGTGGTGAGCCCATGGGAAAGGGGACCCACGTTTCCTCTTCGGGCTGTGCCCGGCCGGGTTCCATGGGTGAAAGCCCGGCCACCAGGTGCTCGCCAGCATGCCCCACCTCCAGGCCTGGCTCCAGAGGGGGGCCCGGTGACCCACGTCCGGGCAAGGAAACACGGTTTCCATTTATATAATTCATCATAAGAGGTCTTCGGGCTGCTCTTTGTCTGATCCCTCACCGAGGACCTGTTTGCCATGGGTGACCCTACCAGAGGCAGAAAGCCTCGGACAACTTAGCTCCTAGGATCATTAAGATACTCAAACCCCTCCACCACGGTAATAATAAATTGTCTTGTCACTCAAACAGTGATTACAACACCCCCCTCCCCCCGGAGGTGAAGTCTCAAGTTTGTTTAGTTGTGAGCCCACGTTTAATTTAAATGTTTTTTTTAATATAAATATCATTTTTTATATAAAAGTCATTGTGATTTACTGGCAAGTGGACACCCACACCCAGTCAGACCATTTGTTTGTGTTTTGTGTAAATCATCATCATCATCATCATCATATTACATGTTTTATATTTATTTTTTGTCTTGGTTTTTGGGTTTGCTGTCTGTGCTTCATGTTTTTGGACTTGCCTTTTTTTGCTTATTGACATACATCTTGCTCTTTATTCATTGTAAGGTAGGAGGACTCACTTGAAAATAAGTTGGTTAATCTAAAGTTGTTTTATCCTAGATTTCTCACTAATATAAACAGGCGTTCTCACATTACACCCATTTTAGCTGACCTACATTGGCTCTCAGTGCTCTTTCAGATAACGTTCAAAATCATCCTCTTTCTTTTTAAATCCATCCATAACCTGGCACTCTCTTAGCACCCAGAGCTTATCACATCCTGTACACAGATCAGCTACCACCTACTGTCTCAAAGGCATGTTACAAGGTGAACAGTGAACACGCTTTTTCTTATGCTGGCCCAAAACTTTGGAATGACCTAGTGGTGAGACAATCCACTTCACTCCAACTTTTTAAGTTCCGTCTTAAGACAAATTGTTTTATCTAGCTTTTGGAGGCTGTTTGCTATCAGGCGTCCTAGTTTTGCCTTCTTTTGATCTCTTTGTTAGACATCTGGGATTATGTTTATTGTTTTATTCTGTGTACTTCTTTTCTTTTTTTAAATTCTCTTCTTGTACTTCACAAATACTGTTTTGCAAGTGTTTTGACTGCCTTTTTACAGTTGGAATTTTATATCTGGTATTTTATGCTTTTTGACTGTGCAGTCAGCAGCCATGCTGTTTTATAAGTGATTTATAATTAAACCTGACTTGACTACAGCTGACTTTACTATCCTCCTAAAACATTAGTCAATAAAACAACAACAACAACAACAACAATAATAATAATAATATCTTGATTGTTTGCAGGAGGAAGTCCCAAAATCAGCTATATCCTCATCCACTTCCCCCCCAACAACAGGTGATAAAAAGAGTAAGGGCCGAACGGGGTGGCCTCAGCATGTGTGGGCCCTGGAACTCAAACAGTGATTACAACACCCCCCCTCCCCCCGGAGGTGAAGTCTCAAGTTTGTTTAGTTGTGAGCCCACATTTAATTTAAATGTTTTTTTAATATAAATATCATTTTTTATATAAATGTCATTGTGATTTACTGGCAAGTGGACACCCACACCCAGTCAGACCATTTGTTTGTGTTTTGTGTAAAAATGTGTTTAAAAATATTGCATCTTTCGGGATGAAAACAGTGATGTGAAAACAATAAACTACCCTTTAACTTAGTGATCTGGACTTTCATTTCATTTTTTTATTTTTCTCGTGTCCTGTCTGGCTGTGAAGTAAACAGATTTGATGTCTGAATGTTGGTGAGAAGCCTTACAGATTTACTCTCAGGTAGAGCATCAACGCTTCTGCTTTAATGTCATAATGCCTGATGCTTAAAACTTTATTGTCGTTTCTTTTGGATGCTTTATAATTCCGACCAGACACAGAGACAGGGGTGAAAGAGAAAGGAAGAGACAAAGGGGAGGGGGGGAGGGGGGGGGGGGTCCACCAAAATAAACAATCAATGATGAACAAGAGTTTGCTTCTAGACCTGCGGAAAGAGAAAAACAAACAAAAAAAAGGGACACGCAACAATACAACAAGAGCAAGCTATCACTACGTCAACGTAATGAGGAAATATTAAGTCAACATTGTTTTACACACAATAATAAATCACAGTGCATTTAGTGCCAACCAAAATGTCCAAGTCCATACCTATGAGAGCACCATGTGAGCACCTGTGTGCGTACACGCCAAGCCCCCATAGCTAGGGTCTGGATGTGAAGCAAAACAGGAAGTGACAAAAAGTGCAGTTACTAGTCTCCTCTGCATGGTCAGTGTCTCCCCCCTTCTCCGGCACGATGCCACGCACACTTGCTGGTCCAAGTACTGCTGAGATCCTAACGATGAGCGGTGGGGGATCAGCGGTGCCAGGACCTCAGCCAGTGGCAGACACACTCTGGTGGTGACAAAACATCTTTTATTTTGCCTCCACCTTCACATTGGACCATTTTTTTATGTCTGCCACACATCTCTCTGAAGAACTCACAGCATTGACGGCTTCAGCAACGCTGTGCCACTCCGTGGATTTTCTCTTATTTGTTTTGCAAAAGCACTTCATTTCATTTCTCCACCTCACCCACAAGTACCTCAATTTCTGCTCTGGTGAAATTGCGCTTCCTTGATCTGCGGTCGCCATCATTAATGGTGAAACACTGCAACGAGCTCGCTTATGTATGCAGTGATCCCTCGTTTATCGCGGTAGATGCGTTCCAGACCTGGCCGCGATAGGTGAAAATCTGCGAAATAGGGACTCCCAGTATGCCCCTCGCGGGGATTCCCTCCACGTCGCACCTACGTCACAAACCGCGGCTATAAACGGAAGTCGCCTTTCCAGCTCACCACTCAGTCATTGTTTCTTCAGATTCTTGATCAGAGTTTCCAACTTACCGATCAATCCAACGAACTATCAGCTCATAGTAAGTTATCTTACTTACTTCTGGAAAGCCCGGCATTTCCGTGTCACTTCGTTGACGCTCGAACGCTTGGGGGTTTCCTAGATTAATCGTGAGCCGGCGTTTCACCGACGCTATCACTTCCGTGTCTGTGAAACCACGCGCTCCCTACAAGTTCAACTCCCGAATCCAGCCGACCAGTCTGACAAACAGTACTATATTGAATTATAGTATGATCACATTCTCCTTTTGTGGGTAAAACTCAAGAAAAAAATTTTTTTACTTGGTTTTTTATAGTTTTATTGCAAAAAGTGCATTTTATGATGAAATTGATGAAAAACAAACCAGGAATTTCTTGATATTTCGCATAGAAAAATACCGCGAATCGGCGAATTTCCCTTGAATAAGGCTCCAAAATAAAATCCGCGAAGTCGTGAATCCGCGATAAACGAACCGCGAAGTAGCGAGGGATCACTGTATACATGAGATCCACAAGGTACTATAGTATTTGTCATTTATGGCAGAAAGTGGGCCTGTTGAGGGCGGGATGTGATCCAGAAACAGCTGAGCACATTTCCTGATAGTTTGTGATTTATAAAGCAGAGATTGCGTTGTGCGTTCTCCATGTTTTGTAGGTCACAAACGTACTTGGCGTAAGTACGTTCCTTTTGCTGAGCTAAAGTACGGTTTTAGTAAATATTCTACGCAATGTTTGACGAATGAGACCCCAGATCCTTAAGCCTAGTTTTGCGTATGGTTCGGTACAGAGACATGCAATACTATTATCCGTGATTGCGAGGGCTCTCCAAAATGCTTACAAGAACGGATGGAGTTGAGCCCGCTTTTCTAAACATTCGTCCAATGAGATGGAGAATGCAAGCTTGTGATTGGTCAGGACGCCGCTTCCTTTAAAATCTTCAACAGCACTGCCACTGCTCCGTCAAACAAACAAAGAGACTTGACAATATTTAGCGGCAGACACGGAGCAGCCTGAAGAATACTTTGCAGATGAACTCTAAAGATATTGTGACGCCACAGGAAATGAGTCACTAGAGAGAAAAGCTTTATTGCATACCTCAAGTGTCAAACCTGGCTTGACAATGAGGAGCAGCTCATTAACAACTCTTGCAATCACAAACTTGGAGTTAACAATCTGATGTCAGGCAGGTCATTCTCATGCACCCCCTTCTCTATCGTGATGATGAACAAATACCACCAAATATTGACACCAACAGAACTTGAAGGATAACTAAAGAACAGGTCAGTGAAACACAAATATATAATGTCAAACCATAAGATAACACTGGAGAACTCTGCAACTAACACTTAAAGTGACAAGCACAGAAGCCCAATAACAAAACAATACTTGGATTCAGATGAAAGGGGCCGTTCCTCCCAACCACACCACTCCAGGTCTCATTGCCGTTGCCCACATGAGCATTGAAGTCCCACAGGAGAACAGTGGAGTCACCAGAAAGAGCTCACTGTCTGCATGCTGGCTTGTCCTCTGGCCAGTGGGATGTTTGAGTAGCTGAGAAACCCACAACCTTCCCCTGCAGCACCTCCTCCTTCTCCTCCACCTTCTCCTGTTGCTCATCTCTCACCTAAGGATGCTTAGTTTGAGGTGATGATGGCAGACGAGAAGCTTCTGTCTGAAGCAGAGCAGCTGCAGCTCATGACATCTGTCATTACAAGGTGAAAGGGGCGGGTTGTGTTCTTTAATATTTTTGTTTTATAAATTCAAGTTCAGTTAATTTATGCGTCAGTCTTCTCTCTCCAGGTTGCAGTTCTTTTCCGGTGGTTTCCCGGGTGAGGTCCAGCTGTGAGAGCCTCTTGGAGGAAAATTTAGTAAAGCTGGGTGTGGAGTTGTTCAACTGCCAGACAGAGAGGGGTGCCAGACCTTCCTGTGTATACGTGGTAAATGGTAACGTTTTATTCTGTTTAAATCACACAAAAACAGTGTTTATTTAATTTTATACCGTTTGATTCTCAGAGCCACAAGGAGTGCACGTCTGACATCTAGACATGTGGAACACCACATAGTGAGTAACAAAGCTGGATCGGTTTGCTACACGACCCGTCAGCAGCTCTTTCTGGAGCAAGCAGAGCTCACGATTAAAACCCTCATCTACACGGTGACAATCCAGCTTCCTGAAGAATCTCCTTCGTGCTGCAGATCTTGGCCTGATCCTCCCTGGTTGTGTTTTTTTATTAAACAGGAGGGACGGCTGTCGCTGAAGGACCTGACTGCTGCTTCTCTGGACAAGACGGTGGAGGTCACGGGGCTCTGCAGGGGAGCAGGTGGAGACCTCACTGAGGAACGACTGGGTCAGGCAAGGATACCACTCTAATGGACTATAATTAGAACTGAGCAATATGGCCTCAAATTAATATCACGTTGAAAGTTATTGTTTACATCCTGGTAACTGCTCACTTCCACACAAGCTGGAGGGCAAGAAGCCCATCTCCGACCATTATCCAGAGCTGTATTTCTGTGATTTAAGCTAACAAAATAAAACCTAGGCACTTAGATATTACTACTTTGTTCATCTGCACAAAGATGTGTTAGATGATCTTAAGAATAAACATCTGAAAGCTAACGGTGTTTAGCACAGAGCTTCCAGGTACGTTTGAAGTAGGGCTAATGAACGGTGAGACGACAGTCCTCCTCAGAACCATCACCTGGACATTAAAGGTGTTCTACATGTTGTGGGTTGGTGCAGAAGGATCGCTGTGACATCACTCGTCTTTAAAGACGAACAGATACTTTGTTTATTCTGATGACTAACGTAAACAAAATCATGAAACAAACGACATTGAAGGCTGGTAATTACAACACATTTTATGTAATTATTGTAACAAGACCGCGGGTCACACAGAACTACACACCACACCGGGGGTTTCATTTTCACACGTTTTTGTCTCAGAACTGGTCAGTAGCTCAGTTCTGCTCCTCGTTCCTGCGGTCACACATAATTATATAAAAAAGCACATTAGTCATTAGATGACCATAACCTGTTTGCAGTGTTGGGCAAGTTACTTCAAAACTGGAATGCATTAATTATTACTTGTTACCCTCATTTTCAAGTAATTCATTACATTACAATATTACTGATTTTAAAATGTAAGGCATTACACTACTTTTGCATTACTTTAAGTTACTTTCACCAAAACAACTTCACTATGAATCTGGTAATCTGACGCTCAGTGAGCTCATGACATATATGTGGAAGGTGATGTGGTGTCTAAGCTAGGGTTGCTGTTAAACACAGTCAGATATAATAACAGTGCTTTAAAATGATTGTTTATTAAATAAAAGCAACAAAAATCTGTATTCTCAGCATGCTGCCATCTTATAGGGCCATCTGAGCAGGGAGTTAGGTGGTGGGGGCTCCAAGCCTATATTTGCCTTGGTCCCCAAATTCCTTGACACGGCCCTGGATGTGGGACTGACTTCTGGGGTGATCTGATTCTATCACATGTATAAATATTAAATGCTTATATATTATTGCTTTTCACTGGTAAAAATGTGTATTGGGGACAAATCTACCTACTTATTTACTTGATTTTACTTGATTAATTTCCTGCCCTTTCTCTCTCTAACCTTCCTGCATGCTGCATGCTTTATCCGTCTTCCACAAAAACTGTTTTCTAGATTTCCTACTTTCTAACTAATCAGCCAAAGGGATCTACCGAAGGCTAAAAAAAACAGCTTAATATGCCCTGCACTCCAGCAGCAATGACTTGAAATCTCCGGGGCACAGATTATGAACTCAGCTGAAAAGTACATGAAGTACCAGAGAATATGAGCTGATATAAACGATCGCAAACGAATTACTTTGTTTTGGTGGAGCGATTTTGTGAATATAACCGCAGGACGCAGCTGGAGTATTTGAGCCATCACCGCTGCGTCCTCTCTGCTCATAGAATGCCCGCAAAGCTGAGTCCATAAACGACGTCATATATGTGGATACTGGATCTTTTTTCAGGCTTCCCGCAATTTGAATTTTTGGGAAACCCACATCTTGATTCTGGGTTTAAAAATCCATTGTAATTACCGCGTTACTGACAATTGTACCGAGTAAATATTACCATTTTCTTTCCCTGTAATGCCTTACATTACCACATTACAGCAAAAGCAATGCATTACAGTAATTCATTATTTTGTACCATGTTACTCCCAACACTGCCTGTTTGTGTCTGAACATGTGGAGCAGATATTTTACTTTTTTATTTTAGACTTTGCCTTCTGTGTATTTTAGCAGCTGGAAACCTGTAAAATTTTACTTTTATCGTCTCTCTTTCATTTACTTGTGCAGCCTACAGCTCCGTGTGTTAACCTTGCTGATGGGTTTTATTTATCTCTGTTTATTGACAACTAACAGCTAAACATGACGTGGTCAACGGGGAGGTGCCAGCTTCTTGCCCTTTATCTAGAGGCTGGGAGTGATGGTGCTGAGGTCACGTGTGGAGGCGTCTATATGGAGAAGCGAGTCAGGTCGCGGGGGCAAGCTCGTCCCACTAAAGATAAATGGACGATAAGAAACTAAAGTTGTCCACTAGATGAAGCTGTGGCAGCATAATTGATCCACAGCAAGTTTAAATTATTTTATCCCCCCATTAAAATTTACTTATTAGCTACATTAAAAACTACAAACCGAGTTGTAAATACTTTTATTTATTACTAGAAGAGCACAAATGAACACGTATTAGAGTAAAAGAACAAAAAGGTCCAAAACACAAAGCATTTCAGATACAATTGTAGCCTCCAGAAATGGCCAGTTTTCATCTATATTGGTCTTTCAGTATCCGGTCAGATAGAGACACAATTCTGACCCTGTGTGCTCCTTAATATTCCAAGCAGCAAGACAAATCCTACTCTGCGTGTTTACGCTCAGATTGTCAACATCATGTTCCTTCCTCAAGGTTCCTCTCTGCCAAGCTGTGGCTTTATCTATCCGCTTGCTTCACAGGACAAAAGATGAACTTTTACAACTCATAAGTTAAATAATCAGTAAGTAAACATATGGTTGAATGAACACATGTTATATGAATAATAATATTAGTGTTTGATTAACATGTGCCTAATTCAATGAAGTTTAAATGAATTTTAATAGTACAATAAAACATTGATGTTATGATCAGTAATGTTTGGTTTAACAAGTGAATCATTATCTACACTCATACAGAATGTTCAGAAGATATAAATTCAGGTTAAAGTAATTGCAGACACATGTATATCGTCTTATCCACAAATTAGAGCACTTTCTATCCGAAAGAAGGCGTGAAGTTCTGAGGTTTGTTTGTTAACACCTCAACATGTTAAATTCTGGTTGGCCAAGATACTCCGTTATATTTATCCATTAACCCTGATGAACCTAATCAGTTAGATTACAGGCTTGTGTTGAAGACATAAAAAATTGGATGGCTCAAAACTTTTTGCTTTTAAATCAAGACAAGACCGAAGTTCTCATCTTTGGACCTGAAATTCGGAAAAGGAAATTGCTTAGTCAATCACCTGACCTGAACGGCATTAAATTAGTCTCCGAGAACAAAGTAAGGGACCTTGGTGTTATCTTTGACCAGGACATGTCATCCAAATCCCACGTTATAAAGGCTTGTAAGATTTCCTTTTTCCACCTTCGGAATATTGTTAAGATAAGAAGCATCCTTTCCAGGAGTGATGCTGAAAAACTAGTTCATGCATTTATTACATCAAGACTGGATTACTGTAATCATTACTCTTGGGAAGTCCACAGAATGTAGTTAAAAGTCTTCAGCTTGTCCAAAATGCTGCAGCTAGAGTTCTGATGAGAATTAAAAAGAGACATCATATCTCTCCTGTCTTAGCTTCCCTACATTGGCTACCTGTTAAATTCAGAATAGATTTTAAGATCATCCTTCTCACATATAAAGCTCTTAATAATCAAGCTCCATCATACATCAGTGACCTGATTGTTCCATATGTTCCTAACCGAGCACTTCACACTCCGACTGCAGGTTTACTGGTGGTTCTCAGAATATAAAAAAATAGGATGGGAGGCAGATCTTTTGGTTATCAGGCTCCTCTCTTGTGGAACATATTCCCAGCTTTAGTCCATGAGGCAGACACCTTGTCTACTTTTAAGACTAGGCTTAAAACATTTTTATTTGATAGGGCCTATGGTTAAAATATCATGTTAGCCTAGATCTGGACAAGTGGGGGAGTAGAGGGAGGTGGAGTGTACAGTCGGTAAAGACGGCTCTCCCTTGCCCTGCCTCCAACATTTCTCCATCTAAAAGGCTAGGTTATCCAGAGTTATCTATGTAGTTATGCTGCTATAGGCTTAGACTGCTGGAGGACTTACTGACCACTTTCCACACTCTACTACTTTCTTCTACAATCTGCTCTTTACCTGTATTATTTCCTGCAATTTCAGCTGTTAACTTTATTTTTCTCTCTAAGTATTTTTCTCCCCAGAAGAAGCTACAATGATATTCTGCTGAGCCGTGGTGGCCTCATGGAGGGGGCCATCGTCTTGAACACTTTTGCTAACCATTTAATCATTCTCCCTCACCTGATAATAACATTGCACTTGAAATTGAATGTGCATCTACTAGTTTACCCATTTAATTATAGATTTACTAGGATAAATACAATCAAGTTTATCTCTCACCAAATAGAATATTTTCTATTCATATTCAGAAGATCTTTCATGGACGTAAAAACAAAGAGTCGGAGTGCCCGGCCCGGAGGGTTACCAGGGTCCCACCCTGGAGCCAGACCTGGGGTTGGGTGAGCGAGCACCTGGTGGCCGGGCTTTCTCCCATGGGGCCCGGCCGGGCCCAGCCCAAACCGGATACATGGGCTCATCCAACTGTGGACCCACCACCCGCAGGAGGAGCATGAAGGGTCCGGTGCAGTGTGGATCGGGTGGCAGACAGAGGCGGGAGCCTTGGCGGTCCGATGCCTGGCTAATGAAACTGGTTTTTGGGACATGGAACATCACCTCGCTGGCGGGGAAGCAGCAGGAGCTTGTGGCAGAGGTTGAGCGATACCGGCTAGATATAGTCAGACTCACCTCGACACATAGCATTGGCTCTGGAACCCAAGTCCTTGAGAGGGGTTGGACACTCTCCTTTGCTATAGTTGCTCCGGGTGAGAGGCGGAGGGCTGGGGTTAGCTTTTTATTAGCCCCAAGACTCTCTGCCTGTGTGTTGGGGTTTACCCCGTAGGATGTGAGGGAAGCTTCCCTGCGCCTTCGGGTCGGGGAACGGGTCCTGTTTTTTGTTCTTATGCGCCAAATATCAGTTCAGATTACACACCCTTTTTGGAGTCCCTGGGACGAGTGCTAGATAGTGCTCTATCAGGGGACTCCATTGTCCTGCTGGAGGACTTCAATGCTCATGTGGGCAATGACAGCATGACCTGGAGGGGTGTGATTGGGAGGAACGGCCCGCCTGATCTGAACTCGAGTGGTGTTTCGTTATTGGACTTCTGTGCAAGCCGTAGTTTGGCCATAACAAACACCATGTTCAAACATAAGGATGCCCATCGGTACACTTGGTACCAGGGCAGCCTAGGTCGCAGGTCGATGATAGACTTTGTAGTTGTATCATCTGACCTGCGGCCATATGTTTTGGACACCCGAGTGAAGAGAGGAACGGAGCGGTCAACTGATCACCACCTGGTGGTGAGTTGGATCAGATGGCAGGGGAAGATGCCGCGTAGACCTGGCAGACCCAAACGCATAGTGAGTGTCTGCTGGGAACGCTTGGCAGAAGAACCTGTCAAGATGGTCTTCAACTCCCACCTCCGGCAGAGCTTTGACCGCGTTCCAAGAGCAGTGGGGGACATCGACTACGAGTGGGCCTTGTTCCACTCTGTGATTATTGAGGCGGCTGTTGCTAGCTGTGGTCGCAAGGTGGCCGGTGCCAGTCATGGTGGAGCCGTCAGGCTGAAGAAGGAGGCCTACAGGGCGTGGCTGGTCTGTGGGTCTCCGGAGGCAGCAGACGGGTACCGGATAGCCAAGCGGGGTGCAGCAGTGGCAGTTGCCGAGGCAAAATCTCAGGCGTGGGAGGAATTTGGTGAGGCCATGGAGAAAGACTATCGATCGGCTCCAAAGAGGTTCTGGCAAACTGTCCGGCGCCTCAGGAGAGGAAGGCAGCAACTCGCTCACACTATTTACAGTGGGGATGGGGAGCTGCGGACGTCAACTGGGGCTATAGTCAGGCGGTGGAAGGAATATTTTGAGGAGCTCCTCAATCCCACCTACGCACATTCCAAGGAGGAGCCAGAGCCGGGAGACCTGGAGATGGACTGTCCAATCTTTGGGGCAGAAGTTGCTGAGGTAGTCAAACAACTACACAGCGGCGGAGCCCCA